TATTGTATATTATAGTGTAGAAACAGCACCGAATGCTGTTTCTACACTTTCACGCGCAGTCATGCCGGTGGCGCGAAAACTTCTCAAAAATCTAACAGTGTAAAGCGCTTTTAAAGATAAATTCTGTTATTGTACATTTATAAGTAACATTTTCAAACCATTTTATGTCTAAATATACTCAGTCTCTTGTTAATATATGAGCTAACCTATTTTAGTCTTAAAATATTGCCAATATATAACAAACAAGTAAATATAAGTTGAACTAACTGCTTAGCTATATGGCTAAAAGAAATGTGGACCACGAACTATCTGTCATCACAAACTGAAACGGATGATTTTGACCTGTTTCCGCCTTTCGCAAAGTAAGAGTTTCTGTCAGTATGTTCAAAATTAAAGCATGTTTTCTATTTTCATATGTTTCTCTATGGTCTACTGTCATTTATGGGTAATGTTGTTTTGCCATCTACAGGCGCTCAAAGGAAGTGACTCGTTCCAATGAGGAGACTGTGTTACCTGTGCAGCCTCAATATGGCGAGACTTTCTGGAAGACAGCTGTGCCAATATCATGGTAAAATTGTTAATTTAATAACCATGTCCCTATGCAAATGATTTTGAAAGTACTTCAGGACACTCTGAAGCTGACTGTGTTTGTATGTTTGTTGGCAGCGAGGACTTGTTCACATATGAACCCTTTCTTGCTTCAGCCCTGTACTCCAGTTCACCTGTTGGGATGGTGAGTAACTAAATGTAGACTTTTTGATTTTTTTAATTTGTGATTAATTTACTTAAATACATGTGATATGCATTCAGAAGTCTAGATTTGTGGAATTGCACACACAGGCCTGCCTTTAGTCAGGTGACCACACACAATTTGACCACCGGATTTACAGAAATAATTTCACATTTAAAGAGTGTTTTCTCAACATTGCAACATTGCATCTCTAATTAACTCATAGTTCAAACACATTCATTAATTATTATTTGAATTATCACTCAGTCATTTAACAATGTAATACTGAGTCTTAGAAATACTTTTGTCTATTGAACACGTTAAAATACACACATTCACACCATTTCATATTAATATGAAATGCAGTGATTTCCAAACATTTTTGTCAGCCGAAACAATAAAATAAAGTTTAGTTTTTATAGCAATATAAAAAGTAAACAATTGAACAACACATTTGCATATGATTCAAGTGTTTTATTTGTGTTATTGTTTTATTTTCAAATTATTCATTTATTTTAATTGATCATTTTTATGGTTTAATTATTAGCTCTTCATAAACTCACAAACCCCTTCAGTTCCTTGGTGAACCCTAGTTTGGAAAAGTCTGAAGTAATGAAATGTTTAATGCACTTCATACTGTCGCTAACAACTCTTTGTATTTTTATATCAGTATTAGACTATCTTCTTCAAATGATAAACATCAAAAGTTATCTAAAAACAATTATAATTGAAAGGTATCTAAGTGATCAAAAAGGAGTCCGATTATATTACCTAAAATGTGTCATGTAATATATTACGTTACTAACTATTAACTAGTATCTTAGAGTACTCTAGAATTGTATTTCCAACACTTTGTTATGGTACTGTCACATCAGCCGCTGTCAACTCATTATTTCAGGTGAGCAGACATAAAAGAGTGAGCAGCCTGACTCATGAGAATCTGCCGCATCCTTCACAGCTGATGAGTAGAATGAGAAGATATCACAGACTACAGAAACACACTCCAAGCGTTCTGCAACATATAGGAGAACTCAGGATGAAACAGCGCCATATAAATGAGTGAGAGAGAGAAGGATTGTGGGAGGAAAGGCATGTTACGAATTAACAAATATGTATCAAATGAGTCTATTTTGCAATATTGCAGGCTGAAGGGGGACAAATGGTGGGGTGCCACAGCTGTGCCCAGGCTGGAGGACAGCAGCGGCTCACCTGAGGGTGGAGATGAGCAGCTTCTCAGTCCTGCAGCTGGTGTTAGCTTCAGTGCTATGCTAATGGACAATCCTGATGTGACCATGACAATGCCTTATGAAGCTGCTCCCTCACCGACTCTTCTGGTAGCATTTAATTGATGAAAGGAAGAAATCTTTCGGTTTAATCTGAAATTATATTTTGTGATTTTTTCTTCTTCTTCTACAGTGCTCATTTACAGAATATGAGCAGTTTCATGACCTTGCTCCAGGAGGGAACCCCATGATGGCGTTTGTTTCGGGAACAGCCCATAGATCGCTCTTGATGGCCGATAATGTATGTGCCGCAGTGAATTCTGGGACATCTGATAGGATCCTCGGGAGCAATGATGATACGATGTCACTTTTTTACTAGTTTCTGCAGTTTGCGCCATGTTGGCCTATGATTCTACGATTTTTTTTCCTCTTAATATCTACTGTTGTTAAGTCTTAATGCAGTTTTATATGTAATTGTAATTGCTTTTCATGGTTGCAAATGTTTTAGTGTTTAGTGTAGTGTTTAGTGTTAATACCAGACAATTGGTATAACATTTCAAGTGTGTGATGCTTGGCTTATCAATCTTAAAAAAGAAAAGACTCTCAGGACCTGACCAAAGTTCAGTTCTGCTTAGTCATTTGCAAATGAAATGTATATGAATGGAAATACATGTTTACTGTATTGGCATTCATTATTGTCTGTATGAATTTGAATCTGCTTGATCAAACAGGTAAAAAGAAACAGTAAATAATAAAATAAAACTGAACCCATTTCTTTTTTTGTACTTCTAGGCTACCTTTTTACAATTTTGTTTGTACCTATAGCATTACTAACCCTTACCATGGTAATGGTGCATAAATTATGCAGTACAATTGTGTTTACCTGTTTTAATGTATATATTACATGAATAGAAACATTTGGTTTCACTTTATTTTACAGTAAATGCACTTATGTGTACTTAGTATGCTTTCCTAAAAAAGTAGGCTACTGGGTAATAACTACATGGGTTAGGTTAGGTTTAGGGGTAGGCTACGTTAGGTTATTTATTGCAATTATTATAATAAGTACGTAGGCTACATGCGGAAAAGGACTGTAAAATAAAGTGCTCAGTTTTTTTTCAACATGCGGATTAATTAAGGACTTACAAACTCCCTATAGCAAAGCTGATTTAATTTAATTATTTTCTCAGAATCCCTGTATATTCACTGGAATCTCGTTTGGGATTTTTATTGGTTAGAACTTAATACAGCATTTCCATTAGGGAATGGGACGACCATGTGTTGACCGAATATTTTTTCTTTTCCACTCCCTCCTCTTTCTGATGAAAGTTGTGAAACCGAAAGTTAACTGATCAAAATTGAGAACGGAAATATTACCGCTATTTTCCGCATTCTAAACTATTCTGTCCCATCATATCAACGTTCAGGCTATAATGAACAATCACAACATTCCTGCTTCTGTTTGGAAGGTGAAGGTGGAAGCGCTGAAGCGGTTTCTTGTATGTACTGTCGCCTGCACCTGTGTGGGTGTGATGTATATGCAGTGGACGTACATTTGGATGCTCAGGTCTGAAATGGCTGAAATAACGCGGCGGTTCAGGCCTCTGGATACAGCGGTGAAGGAAGGTGGGATATGCTGTGATTCCGCCGTGTGCTACGGGGTAGGTGAGTGCTTTTGTTCTGTTTTTACTGCTTAACGTTATTCGTCTGTTGCTTCACCAACCAATTCTACTAATGCCCTGTTTTCTGCACTTCTATCCTGATTATTCTAAAGTATTCTCTGGAGAGTATAATCTAAATATAGCCTAAATATGATAATTATTCAGTGCTTTGGTATATATCAAAGTAAAGTGGTATTACCATTGTTATGTACACCATAGTATTTTTAAAGCACCTTGAAGTACCATCACTATGGTATATGAATGGTTATACCATGGTAAAATTAAAAATAGTAATAATAATAAGAGTGGTACCATGGTACTATGGCATTAATTGCGCAACTGATTTCACTTCCCCATCTGTGGAGAACTGGTGACTGCCTTCGGCTCACAATGCATGAACCAAATAGTTAGTCAGAAAGCACTATGCTTACCAGTCAACTTTAGTGTTCAAGCAATAGCATTTTATTCAAAAGTTTAGGTTGTAATTTTCTCAATATCCTCCCTGGTAGTCATTCATCGGACACTGTTAATCAAAGTGAATTTAGGTAAGTGGGATATCAAATATATCAGTTTTAACAGGGACGGAATAACAATGAAGAAAACTGTGCAACGCAAAAGTGATGACCCAAACAAGATTAAATACAGCTTCATTAGGAGAATGTTTGTGCTGACAAAAATATGTTTTGTGTAGTGATTATTGTCTGCCAAAAGTATGCAACCAAATAACCAAATTATTAAGACTGTAAGATCTCAAGTAAGTCATTTGGCATATTGTAGGGCCTGTGCAGTTCATGGTAGTTTGACAAAGGTATGTGCACAGCCTCCGTCAAATGGGTTGGGCTTTTCCAGTAATGTCTCTGAAGACAATGACCCAGAATTTTATTTTTTTGCTCTGTTGCAATAGCTTGGGAAGAGTCCAGCAGGGTTCTATTTCAGTTCTATGACAGTGTTTTCGCAGGAATTACTGGCATTGCCAAACCCATTAATTAACTCTTTATTAGAATGGGATGTTGTCTACACACTTTTGGTTGTACAGTGTGATATTTTTGACAATTTTGTTTTACTTTAGTACAAAGTAACAGCTATGTTGGGTTGCCTGCTGATGTCCAATGTAAAATCATAAAGCAAAATCGGTGAGCTTTATTGTGTGATGATGTCTAATTTCCCATAGGCTACATCTTGTTATAAGGTAAGCTGTTATCACAGATTCCCTGAGAGACGGACACATGCAGAGGGTCGAGACAAGAGAGATGTGTCAAAACAAAGGAAACAGAGAAAGAGACGTGAAAGTGAGAAACTTCTTTCATTGTCTGTCTTACACACAAACACACATTTGTTTAAATATATCTCATGTAAATTGTCCTTTCTTTTAGCAGAGCAGCACACATTTCTCCATCTTGTTCCTGTGTCCTCGCAGACATACAGTGAGTGTAACACCCACAATGTCTAACTATAAAGGGAATAGTTTGACCAGAAATGAAACGTACCCTCAAACCTTTCCAAACGTGATTGACTTTCTTTCTTCTGTGGAGCACAAAAGAAGTGACCAGATTTGGTGTCCATTGTTATCTACTGTATGGACAGAAAATACTGAGATACTTTTCAAAACATCTTCTTTTATGTTCCACAGAAGAAAGTCATATGGTTTTAGAACGACATAAGGATGAGAAATGATGGGTGAAGTTTTTCACGATACATAGATAGATAGACAGATAGATAGACAGATAGATGTATATTAATAAACTTTCTATAATAGCTAGATGCTGTGGTTTAAAGTTTTTCATAAAATTTTGTTCATGGCAGCAGAGTATTTGGGAAGTCAAGGGGTTTGAATAAATTTGATTGCAACTGTATATAGACAGACAAACAGACAGACAGATGGTTTTTGTCTCTCATTTGTACTCTGTGTTTTTCTCAGATGATCATGACACCACTGTTCTGTCTTGGGCCGTAGGGCAGAGCAGAGGGGAGGGGCTTCAGGTATCAGCTGATACTGTAACAGTGGAGACTGAGGGCACCTACTTCATTTACAGTCAGGTTGGTCTTGATTGGTACTGACACTGCATAATCAAAATATAGACTTTAAAGGGTTAGTTCACCCAAAAATGAAAACTCATCAGTTACATGTAAGCTCAACCATACTTGCTTGATGTACAAGCACAAACCTCATTGGCACGCCAAGCAAGGATGTTTCAGCTTCCATTTACTAATTGATTTTAATTACTTTTGATATGTTCTATGTATATGTGCTGAAAATAAATAAATATAATATAATCTGTTCATCATATTGACATCATATCTGTTCATAGAGATTGTGTCTCTTCAAGACTCTGGATTTAACCAGTCAATTCATGTGATTTACAATTATATTTTATGAGCTTTTTGAAGCATCACAGTTTTGGGTGAATAGCCTTTCAGAAAGGAGAAGCAGAAATCACTCATGTTTCATTAAAACATGAAAATCTTTACTTGTGTTTCGAAGACGTACAAAAGCCTTAGGGGTTTAGAGAGTGAGTAATCAAAATGCCAGAATTTTCACTTTTGTATGAACTAAGCTAACCTTAATTGTAAACCCTAATAAGTTAACAGAACTATTGCAGAAAATTTGATGTAATCAATTATTTGAAGTAATTAAGTTAGCAGAAACTTTATATTTTGATTTTGTACTATACAAGCATGGTAACTGCACCTAACATGAAATATGGAGAAAACTAATTTGATGACACTTAACAGGCCTCAGTTCCCATTGTGCACCATAATTTACCATAACACAATACCATACCATACCTTAACACCATAACATAATACACCACTAATTCGTGGTTTATCTCAAGAACACTCTTTGCGTCATTTGTGCCATCTGCTGGTCTGTAAAATTTACAGCCATAGAGCTTGATTATATTTTGCATACTTTATCAACTGAAAATTTTCTTTGATGGAGGAACTCTTTTTATAGCATATGTCGTTTATTAAATATGTAGCTTTTGTAAGCTTTTATAAAAATTATCACCCACTCATTAAACACCAGCACCAAAGTAAAAAAAAAAAAATCAAAAGTACAAAAATTGGTAACACTTTACAATAAGGTTTAATTTGTTAAAGTGCCCCTATTATGCCTTTTCGAATATTACCTTTCATGCAGTGTGTCTTGTAGCTGTATGTGAACATAAACTATCTGCAAAGTTGTGAAGCCGACAGTGCACGATAA